TTAAGAGTAGTGGCTCATTGTGTAACAGAGGAAACTAAACTACATTACGCTACATAGTATACATACATATACCCTATATTGTATAAATATGCGATTTATTTCCAATCTGAACAGAGGAGGAGCGGGAGTCTTTTTCATCATACCAGACAGAGTGTAGAAATGCCACAGTATTCCTGTTGGGAAATCGCCTCCAACTATACATGCGAGCTCGTCGCCATCAAAAGTGCTCTGTAGATTTATCTCCCTAAAGAAGACCAGAGTTCCAAGGGCATCATCATCTTCTCTGACTGCAGATCAGCATTGCAAGCGATCCAGAAGGGCAAATGTCAACTCAGTCATCAGATCATTGAGCTCACAAACAAAATCCTTGCTGCCCAAAGATCCTGCATCTTACAATGGATATCGGCTCATGTAAATATTTTTGGTAATGAGAAGGCCGATGAGCTTGCAAAGGCATCCCGTGATTCTCCTCAGCCATCCAACTGCCTAACCCTCGTTGATGCCAATGCAGATGCCAGCCAAAGACTAATCGGTCAAGTTAAAGGAAATTCCATCCCGGAATTGAACTGTGACAGAGCCGCATCGACTACTGTTGCACGTGGTTGCGGCTGTGTGCAACAACAAACTATGAGTATTGGAATTTGCCGGTACTTTTAAGGATAAATTCATAACATGCCATAAGAGCCAATTTTTAGATAACAAAAACATTTAATCACATCACAATAGTAAAACTTAATTAGTACAGTTGACAGACAATCACGTTGAAGGAAAGCGGGCGACCAACCGCACCGACGACGAGACGTGACTGTGTGTCGCTGAAATCACCTTCGGTTACAGTTAGTGATAACGGTGCGCGGTTGGCGAGTACAACACAAGTTTACAAGTTTACAGAGTCGCCACACTACTCCCCCTCCAGTGGCAACGAATTAAAGGTACCGAGGGTTAAATCGGACTCTACATCCGGAACGAGGAGCACTTGTTTTCTGGGATCCAGGCACAGGATAGTAGATGTTGGTGTAGACCCAATAGATGAAGGTGCCTTCGAAGGAGGTGGGACTGACGTACCAGTCTCGACAGTTTGTGGTGCTAAGATAAAGGCTGGTTTGAGACGATCAAGGCTTACTACTGTCTCTTTGTCTCCGATTAGTATCCGATAGTTCTTGGATGTGCGACTTAGATCTAGGTGTGGACCTGTATAGGTAGGCTCCAAGGACTTTTTTGACGCATCACACTGTAAGAACACATGTGAGGATGTAGCTAGTTCTTTAGGAACAAACACAGGTCTTGAAGAATGTATGCTTGTGGGCTTAGGGTATAATGCAGCCATGGTTTTCATGCACATACTCTATGCTACCGACCAAACCTGCCGGAAGAACAGACTTATAGCTGAAAGCCAACGAATTATAGCTGAAAGGAGAGAGAAGAAAATCTGGCAACAAAAGAAGAAGCATTCTTGGCAGGGGCGTGTCATGCACATACTCTATGCTACCGACCAAACCTGCCGGAAGAACAGACTTATAGCTGAACGCCAACGACTTATAGCTGAAAGGAGAGAGAAGAAAATTTGGCAACAAAAGAAGAAGCGTGCTTGATGCGAGAAGGACGGCATGCTCGTGTGAAAAAATACAGTTTATCTGAAAGGAGAGGGGAAAATCTGGCAACGAGAAGAAGAAACGTGCTTGATGCGAGAAGAACGGCATGCTCGTGAGAAAAAAATTTGAAAATTAGTTTGGCTGTATCCCAAGAGTAGAGTGAGCTTTTTCTTTTTTTTTGTTAGAAACTGAGAGATGCAATGTATTACTTGTGCGTTTGATGTAAATGTGAATAAAAGCAATACTTTGTGAAAAGTTAAACTGTATTTACAAAATTAAAATATAGCTCATGTTATTATTAAACCTGCATAAGTGTCCCAGTTTATTTCCTGCAAATAGAGTTGACTAATAACATTCATAAGTGGATAGAAACGAACCGACAAAGATGAATTGATCAAAAGATCATTATATGACAATGGTTTCACGCAATTGTTTGAGGAATGCATGGGGCTGGACATTGGGTGAGTGTTTTCGGGATTTATAAAATCTCCCGGTAAATGTAAATTGGTACCAGCACTTGAAGAACCCAGGTCCTCTTTGATACCCGTTCTGAGTCCTAACAACACAGTAGGAAGGACATCAACCCAGTGAATAGCAGTATATAATCTAATGGCCTGTTTAAGAGAGCGATGGAACCTCTCGACAAGTCCATTGGAATTCGGGTGGTACGGTGATGTACGGATCTTTTTAATTCCCAAGAATTTTGTTAATGCAGTGAATAATTGAGATTCGAACTGCCGTCCTTGGTCCGTGGTATTGTACTCGGGTACCCCAAACCGTGAAATCCATACAGAAAAAAAGGTTTTTGCCACAGTGTCGGCTGACATATCTACAATAGGGATAGCCTCTGGCCAACGTGTGTATCGGTCGACACACGTAAGAAGATATGTAAAACCTAGTGATGGGGGTAAGGGTCCAACCAAATCGATATGTACGTGGCTAAAGCGAGCAGATGGTAACTCAAAGCGTTTACAAGGAGTTCGAGTGTGCCTGTGAATTTTTGATTTTTGACAGTCTGCACATGCCCTAGCCCATGCAGCGATGTCCTTCTGCATACCAGGCCATACAAAACGCTGTTGAATTAACGTGCGAGAAGCACGGATGCCAGGATGGGATAAATTATGGAGGCCGCTAAAAATACCATGCCGGAATTTCAGTGGAATGTATGGCCGCACCACATTACCTTGCACATCGCAATAGAGTGAAAGATCTGGTTCTAACTGCATAGGTACTAAATTAAATCCATGAGAAGACTTGTCAGACAAAAGATGTTGCAATTCTGGGTCCTGTTTCTGACATTCAGCAATGGCGGAGAAATCTGTTGTTGATGGCAACTGAACCTCTTCAATTCTGGACAGAGCAACAGCAACTGTATTTTGAGGGCCTTCTACATGCCTAAAATCGGTTGTAAACTGCGCTATGTAATGAAGATGACGCATTTGCCTGGAGGAAGCCTTGTCAGGCTTTTGTCGAAAAGCGAAAATTAGAGGCTTGTGGTCGGTATAGATAAAAAACTCACGACCTTCTACCGTATGACGAAAATGTTTAACAGCCTCATGCGCACTAAGAAGTTCGCGGTCGTAAGTGCTGTATTTTGATTCCGCTGCAGAAAAGTTTTTCGAGAAGAAAGCCAGAGGCTTCCATGCTCCGTCTACCAGTTGCTGCAAAACCGCACCCATGGCCGTATTAGACGCGTCAACCATTAATGCTAAAGGGTGCTTAGAAGGATAGCTAAGAGCTAGTTGCCGAAACGTCTAAAAATTCGATTCTGGGGTAGGGTTTGTACAATAGGCTGTACGGGCATCATCAGACCAAATAATTGGCGGCGTATCTTTCTTTTTACTCCCAACCAAACATGTGTGCAAAGGTGCCTGCTTTTCAGCGGCATGAGGAAGAAAGCGACGATAAAAAATTTAACATGGCCAGAAAACGACGCAGCTCCTGAACAGTTTTTGGCTCTGGGACTAATTTTGAATAGCAGTGACTCTGTCACTAAGTGGGCGAACGCCCTCCGAAGAAAACTTCGCGTGACCAAGAAATGACACTTTAGATTTCCCGAAAACACATTTTGATGGATTAATGACTACACCATAAGACTGAAATCGGCCAAGGACTATGCAAAGGTGTTCAAGGTGCTGGTTTTTCAGTTGTCGAGGCTACCAGAATGTCATTGAAATATGGGACACAAAAACCTAAATCTCGAAGGACTTCATTAATGAAGGGCTGAAACGTTTGCGCAGCGTTACATAACCCGAAAGTCATGACAGGAAATTCGAATAATCCAAAAGGTGTTATTACAGCCGTTTTTGGTATATCAGGTGGATTGACAGGGATCTGATGGTAAGCACGAGTCAAATTTAATGTAGAAAAAATATTTTTGCCTTCCAAGACTTGCATGCAGTCCTGAATATGAGGAACCGGATATCTATCAGGCAAAGTAACTGAATTAAGACATCGATAATCCCCACAAGGACGCAGCCTTACAGGACGCCAGTCGCCGTTTTTCTTAGGGATCATGCGGAGTGGACTGGCCCATGAACTTTTAGATGGCCGACAGATTTCTTGCTCAAGCATGTATTTAAATTTTTCTTTTGCAGCCTTTAATTTCTCTGGAGGCAACCACCGTGCTTTGGCAAAGAATGGTGGTCCAGTAGTCTCTATGACGTGTACAATACCGTGGTCAGCAGTCGGTTTGCCAGTTACTGAGCGGATGACGTTAGGGTATTTCTCAAGTAGTTTGTGGAAAGGAGAATTACCGGAAATTAATTTGATTCCAAAATTAGTGGCATTTCCAATACTACCTACCGCGGACAATTGTGTGATGGAGTCGAGTAAGCGTCGATTTTTAATGTCGACCAAAAGAGAAAATTTTTGCAGAAAGTCTGCACCAATTATTGGGTGCGAAACCGCAGCGATGACAAATGGCCATTGAAATTTGCGACGCAATCCTAGATCCAAAGACATTAATATTTCTCCATATGTTGCAATTTTTGATCCGTTAGCTGCAAATAAGTTAAATTTTCCAGGCGGCCGTTTGGATTCGGCAAGAGAGGGAGGTACAACCGAAATGTCAGCACCTGTATCAACAAGAAAACGTCTGCCTGATGGTTTATCTGTTACGAACCATCGACTAATGCACGGGCCGTTGTCACTCATGGCTTCGAGTGACGGCCCCTTCAGTTTAAAGAGGTCTTCTGAAATTTGCCCCCATGGAGGTGTACACTTGCGTGCTTTATCACCGAATCCGCTGTGATAGAAACAAATGTCTGATTGAGTACCAGAATGTGCGCGTTGGTATTCCCTATTATTTCGGTTCCGGGACTTTGATCTACCGCGCGGACGATACTGAGATCGTGTCTGTAAGGCTGCGACCTGCAATGATAATTCCTGGATTTGTTGTTGAAGAGATCAAATATCAACACTGGGATGCTGAACTTGACTGATTGCTTGTGGTTGGAGAACATCAGGAATTTTGTCTGCCATTTGGGCCAGTTGGAGTAAGTTCTCGTTACTGGAGGCAAGAATAGCTTGGATATTGTTCGGGAGACGATTGAGACACAATGATTGTAAAACATTGGACTTAAAATTGTCACCCGCAAGCTCCTGCATTTTTGACAATAACTGGGATGGGCGCATATCACCAAGTTGCAAATCTTGTAATAACTGCTTTAGTTTGGGGTGTTTTTCAGACTCCTCATAAACTGAAATTAATTTATTTTTCAATTCCTCGTATTTATTATCCGAGGGGTGTTTCAGAACAATCTCACATACTGACTGAAGAACCTCAGTGTCGAGGGCGGAAATCGCAGTATAAAATTTCGTGTCGTCTCGTGTTGTACCCCCGAGCTTGAATTGTGCATCTAATTGAAAAAACCAAAGGTTGGGGTCACTACGCCAAAATGGGACAGGTTTCACCGCAACGCGAGCCATTTGTTTGTCATCAGTGGTTAGAGGATCTCTAGTAGCCATAATAAATATGAATAAATACAGATAACAACAAAAAAAAAAACCGATATAGTTCAAGAATACTGTTGCAGTACACGTGAAGAAACACAAAATAATTAATGTTAGGACCTGGGTTCAAATTATCTAGAACATGAGAAATATAGGAAAAAATTCACCCGCTTGACGAATACATACGAATCCATGTGCGGAATAAAAGGTAGAAAATATCACCTTGATGTACAGAAATTATCCACTCGCTTGATGTTGGAACACTATCACTAATAGAAGATGAAGGTAATGCGCATGTCTGAAAGATGATCACAAATGGAAACATGAAGGTAATCCACGTGGCTGTAATATGATGAGACTGATGCACGATCCACTAGATACGATAATTAATCCAATACACATAAGTAAAAAATATTGGTTCAGCTGCATTTCGCACATTATTACAAGGTCTTGTTTAAGCACAAAATTTCTGCTGTACTATAAATTTTGACGATTCATTTGGCTTAAGCCTCATCCTCCTGAAGTCACCATTTGTTGCACGTGGTTGCGGCTGTGTGCAACAACAAACTATGAATATTGGAATTTGTAGTACTTTTAAGGATGAATTCATAACATGCCAAAAGAGCCAATTTTTAGATAACAAAAACATTTAATCACATCACAATAGTAAAACTTAATTAGTACAGTTGACAGACAATCACGTTGAAGGAAAGCGAGCGACCAACCGCACCGACGACGAGACGTGACTGTGTGTCGCCGAAATTACCTTCGGTTACAGTTAGTGATAACGGCGCGCGGTTGGCGAATACAACACAAGTTTACAGAGTCGCCACAACTATCATAACCAGACTTTGGACAAATCACTTAAAAGGGGTGAGGATCTTTGCAGACGGACAGCGTAGTTACACCAACATTTGTCCTCATTCCCCAGATGACATCCCACTGTCTTGCCATCACATCTTCAGCTGCCCAGCAATCCAGGCCAGACTGTTTGACATCGGGCACTGAAGACCCAGTGGACCTACTTTATACTGATAGAGCTGCCGGGGTTGCAAAAGCTGTCTTTGACAGCTTCGAAGCTATATAATTGCACTTTGTCATAGACACGACATCATCATCATGCGATTTATTTGGGAATACTTTTAATAATTACTGTCAAGGAAATATTAAAACTCTGTTGTTTTTCGTTTTTCTAGTGGCTCTAAACAGTGTTATTATGGACATTTGTATTTAAAGGCAATCGTTTTCTATGCCTGATACCTGAAAAAATATTTAATAGTATTTCCGAGTGAATCAGTTTGCATCTCAGAGGACAAAGTTATATTCGCGTCCCATTTTAACACGCAAATTGGTTTTAGGGCACATTTTGGAATAAAATAAGTGCGTCTTATGGGCCTGGAAATACTGTTATTCCATCACAAATATCTAGTTTTTAAAACCATGCTATTTCAATAATTCTGGTAGCAAAAACAAAATCAAATCTTTCAAAGATAATTCAGGAATATATTTTAGTTCAATCTTGTCGGAATTCGGAAACTGCGTTAAAATTGTTTTCAACACTGCCAGTTCCTAATGTTAGGTTGGAAGAAAATTTAAGAAAGTTATAAAAAAGGGCAAAATCTTGGAGAATTTTTTTTTTTTTTTAAATTCTGAAAGGTTTCAGATTTTATATTACGTCCAAAGGGGCGTTTTGTAACATTTTGTGTGTTACCTTTACTTATTAAATATCATGTTATTCGTACATAAACCATAAAATTCAATTCAACAGCAACATCACAAAATTTAAAAGAGCATGTCTTTAAACAATTTGAAAAGGGAACCAACATTTACAGTGAACGGACGCAAAATGTAAAAACGAAATTAATAGCCCCACTAGGCGAATTGTCCCTTTGGGCTAAAAATTAAAAAATTAAAAAAAAAAAAAAAAAAAAAAAAGGGGGGGGGCTTTTAAATATAATTTTTGAAGGAAGGAGCAAAATACATAAATTAAATTGTCAAGTAGATTTGAAAAAAAAAATTGCATTTTTTTTTCGTTAAAACTAGAGTAATTAAATTACAAAAAAGTTTCGTTATTAATATAATAATTTTTATACTAATTTATTACTATTTATATCATTTCAGAGTAATTTACCATTCGCCGATAAGGTATGTATCTTTTCGCAATTTTATTTAACTTTACTTTTCAGTTTATCAGGTTCTATGTTCCGCCTTACTTGCTTTGGGAACATTCATGAACCTGACTCGGAACAGGGAGCTTACTAAAGCTATGTTCAATAAATGTGGGAAGTAGACAAGATACACAGGAAGGGTATACGAAACCCTTTATTTTTCACTCTTTACAATGATTTCCGGACTTCGGAATACAGAGACCAACCACTTGTGGTCTGAACGTAAGAATATAAAAATATTAACTAAACTCTAACTTAACTTTGGAATAATAAACAAGGGCCTACGTGGAAGATTGGCCGTATATTAACAGGAAGCCGTATGTAGTACAGAGAACTGTTAACACACTACAATACGTTTAAAATTATTAAGAGGATTAAACCTCTGGCCTGGAAGGCAACCAGCAACCGAGTAAAACTGCTAAGGCAAGCGGCCTGCTTCTACTAACTCCTTCCTCTCTCTTGCTTGGCAAAAAGCCACAACTTAAGTACTTGGCGTTCGCCAGACAAATTTGCATAAATAAGTTAAAGCTTTTAATTCTGGCCGGGAGTAGAAAATAAGAAGTGATAGTAAAGATTTAAAATAAAATAAACGTTAGTAAAACTTAAGATCCTTACATACTTCCCGCCAGAGTTAATTAGTTTGAAACTGAGGTCTAAAACGACCTTGTTGAAAACTTTTAGCTCTAGAATCTAACGCGAGGCCAATCTTTTACAAACATTTCTCACTAGAAACTAGAAATTAAAAAAAAAAAAAAAAAAAAAAAAAAAATGTTTTTACATTATCAGCTCCATGGACAATTACTTTTCATCTGTACTGCATCTAAACAGGAGCTCTTAGTTTAAATCTGGTTCCTTCCAGAGATCTGGAAGGAAAACTAGTTTAATGAAATGTTTACACAATTAAATGGCAAGTAACATGAATATTTATATTTCTCCTAACATTCTTATTTCATTCATGACTTATTTAATTATCTCTCCCCGTGCTCTCTGACATGTGTTGTAAAAGAAAACCCAAACACGAATGTGTTTTATGTACAAGTGTTCAACACTACCGCCTCCCATTAAAACACTAACGTGTTAAAATTCAACATAACAAGACCTCATAACACACCTTATCTTCATCTCTAAACCCTGAGGTACTATTCTGAAAGTGGCTAATTCTGAAGTGTAGCGTCAGAGAGCCTAACTACATTCATTCAACCTTTAACACATATTCACAATAATTTGGCTCTTTTTACAGTCACACGAATAAGTTTAAAATTTTTGGCATTACTTTCACTTTTACCATATCACAGTATTTCTTAACATTTAAAATAACAGTTCACATTGTATATAAGGACATATTAACATGCCGTTAATTTTACGCAATTTAAAACATTCATTAGTAGTACTTCTATTCTTTTCCAAGCAACTTCTATTGACTTCCGATGAGTGGATCTTCCGTTTGGGAGCCGGGTTATAGTTGCCGTTATTTCTCCTGGCTCTCTTTGCATTCGCCGTACTTCTCCCTTCTTCATTCTGGGGGTGGTCGTGCGCTCTCTTTTCTGGTCGGTGGAACGGCATCTTTTTCTTGTTACCTTCAATTTTCCAACGGGGAAACTTTCTTTTCAATTGCTCCTGCCTCCTAATGGTTTGCCCTTGTGCTTGTCGTTGTTCCACCTCTGGAGCTTGTGCCTGCCGTGCCTGCTGTGCCGGATCCTGCAAAAGATCTTTAAATAGTTGCATTTTATTACGGTCATAGTATGGTTTTATCTGGTCAATGTTGGCGGAGCATGTTTCACCATTCCTGGCTTTTAACACCACTACAGCCTGAGTTATTTTTTCTGTGACATATGGTCCTTCAAATCGTTGAAAAAATTTGGCGGTTTTATCTTCTGGTGCTGAAGAAAGTGAATGCTTAATTTTTAATACTTCATCTCCTACTTTATAAGTTACTCCCCGTCGTTTCATATCGTAATACAGTTTTTGTTTTCTCTGTGTTACTTCAGTGTTCTTTTTGCTTCTTTAATTAATTTTTCTGTATCACCCATTTTAAATTCTGGGGTCTCTTTGTTGAACATAAAATAATTTATCTACGGCGTATAATATTTCTGCCTAAAAATAACTCAGCAGGAGTTTTGCCCGTTGTATCATGTTTTGCGGTTCTAAGGGCGAAAGCAATTCATTGACATAGTTATCCCAGCTTTTATGAAAACTTTTTAACATAACTACGGATAATTTTCACTATATTTCTATTGACCCGTTCCGCTATATTTGATTGCGGCCGATACGGGACCATTTTTAAATGACGTATGCCCAGTTTTTGGCACATGTCTTCAAATATATTACTTACAAATTGAGGACCATTATCCGATATAACTTTTAGGGCGCCCCGTA